TTTTCCCCATTTCCCCATTTTCCCCATTTTCCCCATTTCCCATTTTTCCCCATTTCCCATTGTCCCCATTTCCCCAATTCCCATTTTCCCCATTTCCCCAATTCCCCATTTCCCCATTTTTCCCCATTTTTCCCCATTTTCCCCATTTTCCCCATTTTCCCCAATTCCCTCTCTCCGTTCCCAGCTGGCTGAGGAGGGGAAGCTGCAGGAGCTCCAAACCCCGAGCGGGCAGAAGGTGAGCGCTTCCCCCAAATCCCCAAAATCCCAAATCCCGGGAATTCCCCCCATTCCCGGGGCCCTTCCCAGCCCTCCCGGTTTTCCCAGACTCTGGAATTCCTGCGGAGCTGCCGCCTCCAGGTGGGGATGAAGAACAACGTCAGCTGGGAGCTCAGCCCCGACATCGCGGCCCGGCACTTCCTCAAGAACGTGAGCGGGATTTGGGGATTTGGGATTTGGGGGAATTTTGGGATTTTTGGGATTTGGGGATTTTTGGGATTTGGGGGAATTTTTGGGATTTTTGGGATTTTTGGGATTTGGGGGAATTTTGGGATTTTTGGGATTTGGGGGAATTTTGGGGATTTTTGGGATTTTTGGGATTTTTGGGATTTGGGGGAATTTTTGGGATTTTTGGGATTTGGGGGATTCCCAGAGCTGCAGCAAATGGACCAAATCCCAAGGTTTGGGGTCATTCCCGAAGGATTTGGGGGTCTCGGTGCAGCCCTGCTCCTGGGGTTTGGGGTCACTCCCGGGGTTTGGGGTCACTCCCTGGATTTGGGGTCACTCCCGGGGTTTGGGGTCACTCCCGAGGTTTGGGGTCACTCCCTGGATTTGGGGTCACTCCCAGGATTTGGGGTCACTCCTGGGGTTTGGGGTCACTCCCTGGATTTGGGGTCACTCCCTGGATTTGGGGTCACTCCCGGGATTTGGGGTCACTCCCAGTTTTTGGGGTCACTCCCAGGATTTGGGGTCACTCCCTGGATTTGGGGTCACTCCCGGGATTTGGGGTCACTCCCGGGGTTTGGGGTCACTCCCAGGATTTGGGGTCACTCCCAGTTTTTGGGGTCACTCCCAGTTTTTGGGGTGCAATCCCAGTTTTTGGGGTCACTCCCAGGATTTGGGGTCACTCCCAGTTTTTGGGGTGCAATCCCAGTTTTTGGGGTCACTCCCGGGATTTGGGGTCACTCCCGGGATTTGGGGTCACTCCCAGTTTTTGGGGTCACTCCCGGGATTTGGGGTCACTCCCAGTTTTTGGGGTGCACTCCCAGTTTTTGGGGTCACTCCCAGTTTTTGGGGTGCAATCCCAGTTTTTGGGGTCGCTGTTCCCGGCAGCTCGGGGTGTTCGTGCCCCCCCACGCCCTGCGCCTGCCACCGGAGCCCGTCCGGCGCTGGGGACACTTCTGGTGTGACGTCACGGTGAGGGGACAGCGACAGGGAGGGGACACAGGGGGACAGGGAGGGGACAAGGAGGGGACACGAGGGGACAGGGAGGGGACAGGGAGGGGACACGAGGGGACAGGGAGGGGACAGGGAGGGGACACGAGGGGACAGGGAGGGGACAGGGAGGGGACACGAGGGGACAGGGAGGGGACAGGGAGGGGACACGAGGGGACAGGGAGGGGACAGGGAGGGGACACGAGGGGACAGCAGCCCCCGCCCCCCCCGTCTTCCCTTCCCCCCCATTTCCCTTTCCCTCCCCTCCCCCCTCCCGCTCCAGCCGGGCCCCTCGGGCTGATCTGGGGGGGTTGGGCTGTCCTGGGGCCGCTTTTGGGGTGACCCAGGGCATTTTGGGGTGACCCAGGGCATTTTGGGGTTGTTTTTGGGGTTGTTTTTGGTGTGACTCAGGTGTTTTTGGGGTGTTTTTGGTGTGACTCAGGTGTTTTTGGGGTTGTTTTGGGGTGACTCAGGTGTTTTTGGGGTGTTTTTGGGGTGACTCAGGTGTTTTTGGGGTGACTCAGGTGTTTTTAGTGTGACTCAGGTGTTTTTGGGGTGTTTTTAGTGTGACTCAGGTGTTTTTGGGGTGTTTTTAGTGTGACTCAGGTGTTTTTGGGGTTGTTTTGGTGTGACTCAGGTGTTTTTGGGGTGTTTTTGGGGTGACTCAGGTGTTTTTGGGGTGGTTTTGGGGTGACTCAGGTGTTTTTGGGGTGTTTTTAGTGTGACTCAGGTGTTTTTGGGGTGACTCAGGTGTTTTTAGTGTGACTCAGGTGTTTTGGGGTTGTTTTTGGGGTGACTCAGGTGTTTTTGGGGTGGTTTTAGGGTGTTTTTGGTGTGACTCAGTTGTTTTTGGGGTTGTTTTGAGGTGACTCAGGTGTTTTTGGGGTTCCCAGGTGAACGGGCTGGACACCGTGCGGGTTCCCATGGACGTGGTGCCCTGGGGGTGTTTTTGGGGTGTTTCTGGGGTTGTTTTTGGGGTGACTCAGGTGTTTTGGGGTGACTCAGGTGTTTTTGGGGTTGTTTTGGGGTGACTCAGGTGTTTTTGGGGTGTTTTTGGGGTTCCCAGGTGAACGGGCTGGACACCGTGCGGGTTCCCATGGACGTGGTGCAGTTCCTGCGCCCCAAAACCAAACGCTTCCGGCACTGGCAGGAGCAGCAGCGGCAGCAGCTGGAGAGGAGCCGGGAGCAGCTCCTCTGACACCCCCCGAGGCATTTGGGGTCCCCCCAGAAGGATTTGGGGTCCCCCCCCAGAAGGATTTGGGGTCCCCCCCCGAGGATTTGGGGCCGTTTCCCCCTCTTTGGGACCCCCCTGAGCTCTGGAAGTCCCGGACATCTCCGGATTCCCAGAGCAGCAGCTCCGGAGTTTTGGGGTTGTCCTGAGCCCCCCCAAATCCCCCTGAGCCCCACTCTGCCCCAGGGGGGTCCCTGGCGTGGATTTGGGGTCCCCAGAATGGATTTGGGGGTCTCTGGGATGGATTTGGGGTCCCCAGGATGGATTTGGGGTCCCCAGGATGGATTTGGGGGTCTCTGGGATGGATTTGGGGTCCCCAGGATGGCTTTGGGGTCCCCAGGATGGGTTTGGGGTCCCCAGGATGGATTTGGGGTCCCCAGGATGGGTTTGGGGTCCCCAGGATGGATTTGGGGTCCCCAGGATGGGTTTGGGGTCGGTTCCCCACTTGAGGGGAACTCCTGGACGTCTCTGGGTTCCCAGAGAAGGATTTGGGGATTCTCCTGAGCCCCCCCAAATCCCCCTGAGCCCCGGGGGTCCCCAGGATGGATTTGGGGGTCTCTGGGATGGATTTGGGGTCCCCAGGATGGGTTTGGGGGTCCCCAGGATGGGTTTGGGGTCCCCAGGATGGATTTGGGGTCTCTGGGATGGATTTGGGGGTCCCCAGGATGGGTTTGGGGGTCCCCAGGATGGGTTTGGGGTCTCTGGGATGGATTTGGGGGTCCCCAGGATGGGTTTGGGGTCCCCAGGATGGGTTTGGGGTGGTTTTGGGACCCTCCTCCCCCATAGGGAGCTCCAGGAGCAGCAGCTCCCTGGAAAAGGAGACTCCGTGGGATTTTGGGGGGGGTCTCAGAGCTGTGAGACCCCCGGGGTCCCTCCCTTGAACCCCCAAATCCCGGGGTGTCCCCAGGATGGATTTTGGGGGGGTTCCCCCCCTTGGGACCCCCCCTCACCTCTGGGGGACTCCAGGACCAGCAGCTCCCCGGGAAAGGGGGGATTTTGGGGAGATTCCCGGGATTTTGGGGAGCCGTGGAATTCCTGCGACCCCCAAACCCCTCAGGACCCCCCAAACCCCACAGGGGGTCCCCGGGATGGATTTTGGGGGGGGGGTTCCACCCTTGGGACCCCCCCTCATGGGAACTCCCGGAGCAGGAATTCCTCGGGATTTGGGGAATCCCAGGAATTTTGGGGGAATCCCAGGAATTTTTGGGG